ATACAATAAAACCGACTGGATCTAAATCTTCAGTTGCTATGACATGTGACTGTGATCAGTAGAAGGGGGCGTTGATACAATAAAACCGACTGGATCTAAATCTTCAGTTGCTATGACATGTGACTGTGATCAGTAGAAGGGGGCGTTGATACAATACAACCGATCTGATCTAGATCTTCAGTTGCTATGACATGTGATTGTGATGAATATTTCTTGAGAATCTCACTGTCGAGAGAGACCGAACTCTTGAAATTATATATATATATATTAAGACGTAGCTTTGTTCTCATATTTGGCGATTGTCTTACCTGAACAATAATAACATTCTTAGCTGAGTGAAAATAGTGATGTTTGAATTAAACAGCAAACTTGTCTGAATAAGAATAACAAAATTAGCTGAGTGAAAATAGTGATGTTCCAATCAACACCAAACTTGTCTGAACAAGAAATGCGACCTTATCCGAGATAGAGTAGGCATAATTCGAAATTTCGTCTTTTATACAGTTTGGATTCGAGGTTCGTACCCCGTTACACCGAAAAAAATCGTGCTCTGCGCTTTGAGGGCGTTATAAGTATGGCAGCCAAATCCCAATATTTGATTAGAGTATCCATCGGGTTGGCAGTAGATGGCGTTGATTAGATTTCTTTCTTATACTCTGTGTAGCTCCTCATGAAATTCAACAACAACAATTAACGACACTCCATGTCCTCACTGTAGATGGCGTTGATTAGATTCCTTTCTTATACTCTGTGTAGCTCCTCGTGAAATTCAACAACAACGATTAACGACACTCCATGTCCTCACAGTAGATGGCGTTGATTAGATTCCTTTCTTATACTCTGTGTAGCTCCTCAGAGGACATGGAGTGTCGTTAATCGTTGTTGTTGAATTTCAACAGTAGATGGCGTTGATTAGATTTCTTTCTTATACTCTGTGTAGCTCCTCGTGAAATTCAACAACAACGATTAACGACACTCCACGTCCTCTGCTTATAAGGCTGAACTTCTCTCCCGCGGTTCATTTAAACTGCTATATGAACGTGTTCCACTGAAATTAAATACATTACTTCGGAAGCTTTACTGGTACCGTTGGTTTATATTTGCGATAATGATACTACAGTATTCAAGTTTTGTTGTTTTCTAAACCACCTGGTTTAACATTACATCAGTTTCATCTTGAAGAAAGAACTTGTGTATGTGTATATTCACACGTAACACTAGTTAGATGTAAACACTCGCATGTCCACGTCACATTGGTTTGATGTAAACTTTTGTAAGTACACGCATGACATGACACAGGAAACTTATAAACAGTTTTTTTCTAATTTTTCCTACAGCAAATCGTTTACGTTTGGCCTAATTTAATTTAATCCTTTTCTTCTGATTTAAGTCAAAAATTCGCACGACAATTATCAGTATCTTTGAATATCTTCCTTTGATAACAGGATTAACTTGGATCATCCTCCCCCACCCTCTTCCTCTTCCAAAATGTGCTACAGGTGATTTATATGTTAATATTTCTCCCACCAAAGTGCTCATAATTTGATGCATTTTTACAGTATTTCTTGTTTCGGCTATTCACGCAAAACTTCTCGAGCCGTCCCTTATTTATAACTGATAAAACTAGAGGGAAGGCAGCATTTCAATAACACCCACCGTCAATTCTTAGGCTATCCTTATCTGACACTAAATATGGAATCTGACCGTCACACTTGTAACGCATCCACGGCTTCCAAGTGCGGTGCGCAGTATATTTTATCGTGTGGTAACGGGACGCAAACAATGGACCAGCAGATCCACAGTCAGGTACGTTAACCACTGGGCCACGTCCGGCCCAAGAATGTTAACGAAAAGATCGTGTATGAAAAATGCGCAACTAATCTGTTAACACTAACTAGAAGTTAATTTTAATATGGTTTTGTGCTCAAAAATATACAATAAGTTTGAGAAAATTATACGTGTATGTGTTATGAAATGGCAGACTTAAAACTATCGTAATAACTAATTTATAATCTGACGCCTAGTAAATGTGCGTGAGTATTTTCGCATTGTTCTTTCCTATCTAAAGAGAAAGGGTTTTGTGTTATGGTGATTGTAAGCAAAAGGTTAGGCTAATTACAATAAGGAAACGCTAAACATTCAGGTCTGTCTGTGAAGCCCCCCCCCCAAAGGAACAGAGGTATGTCTGCGGACTTACAACGCTAGAATCCTGGTTTCGATACCCGTGGTGGGCAGAGCACAGATAGCCCATTGTGTAGCTTTGTGCTTAATTACAAACAGACAGACAGACTGTCTGTGAAAGATGTAATTATTCCAAATATATTTAACAGACGTTCCCCCGATGGTTCGGCGGTAAGTATGAGGGCTTACAACGCTAAAAATCTGGTTTAGATAACCGCGGCGGGTACAGCACAGATAGACCATTGTGTATCTTTGTGCTTTACTAACAAACAGACAAACTTGTGAATAACGTGCATCACGCCATTTCTTTCTACGTTCCCTACTCTGCATATACATTGCATGTATACTTAATATCAGTGTATATGATAGCAGGAGGCAAAGGGGACATTTGCCCCCGCCATGACGGTCATCAAGTGACCCCCCCCCCATCCTTTAATTAAAATGACAAACATATAAGCGAAGTTAATCAATGTTTAGCAGTGTAAAATGCGATTGTATCTGACTGCTCACTAGTTACCTCACTAACTATCATCCGATGTTTAAAACGTCACCGCATCCTGAAGCCTCAACCTCCCCAATCAGTGAGAACCGTCCCTGTATGTAAATACGATATGATGATCAGCGTGACTCGGTTTATCTTAGATGAATATATTTGTTAAAGGTCGAGTAAGGCTATTTGATGTTATCTTTTTTTTAATGAACACATCCTCCTTGTGACCAATTTTTTTTATATATTTGGTTAATGCCAATTGTCTTAATATTATTCCAGCCTTCTCTGGCTATTACAGATAGATGAATATTACCGATTCTATTATTTCCTGATATCTAACTTGTGATAGTCTACGTTTTTCCCGTTAGCCACATTCACAAGGAATGTTGTAAAAGTTGTTTATTTATTTTATTTTTTTATCTTTGATCTCCATTTCATCTTTAGGTGTACTGGTATGTACTAACTGTGATCGTGGTTTGTGTTCTAACGGAGTATCCTCTGACGTAGGATGATATCACTGTATATTTGTAATTTTCTTCATGGTTATTATTGGTGTTTATTTCCTTCTTTATCAAGTGTTCTGGGAATCCGTTTATCGTGTTTATTTCCTTCTTTATCAAGTGTTCTGGGAATCCGTTTATCGTGTTTATTTCTTCTTTATCAAGTGTTCTGGGAATCCGAAAAAAATTATCAAGTCGTTTTACCTTGTAGTCATCACTGAACTTCTCGTCAGATGGCAGCCTCCAGCTCTAGAAAAAAATAAAAGGTGTTATATAAGTGTTAACCCAAATGTTATGGATAAAAAATTAATTCAGTAAACCGGAACGGAAGTTAGTACGTAGATTTTAAAACTTAAAAACGCCAGGAAAATATAATTTCTTCATTCTGTGATAAACATTATATTGTTAATGAAAATTAGATATAACGTATGTAGCAAACAATACTGTTGATACTAATCTCTTAAAAACACAGTGACACACGTCACCACACGGCTACCGGAACACTTGATAAAGAAGGAAATACACACGATAAACGGATTCCCGGAACACTTGATAAAGAAGGAAATAAACACGATAAACGGATTCCCAGAACACTTGATAAAGAAGGAAATAAACACGATAAAATACGTAAAATAAACATCTTACTAAAACCCCAAACTCTCGAACTTTATGGAGCTAGGCGTGGCCTATTGGTTAGCCTGTCGGACTGTAAAATCTGAGAGTTCTTGATTTCAGTTTCTTTGCCGCAATGGCGCTCTCTACTTCCTTGTGTAGCTTTAAACAAATAATCAAAATTAAAAAAAAAAGGAATTATTATAGTACTTAATTACGTGATATCCCTACACGATTAACAAATTACAAAACTGATTTTATGGATTTTTAACGCTAAAATCTGTGGTTCGAGTTTCCGCGATAGATACAGTGTATATAGCCCATTGTGTAGTTGTGCGCTAAAACAAACAAACATTCATACAGCTCTATGATGAAGTGAACGTCAGAGTTATTATTATTATTTTCTAATTCCCATCGAGAGTACCTGCTTTATCGTGATATTGAAGCTTATAACATGAAACATAAATTAAACTTGATTTATGTTTATATCGCCCCTCCTCCTCCCCGTGATTCAAAAGTAAACTGACTCTCGATAACAGCAGTGGGCATAGTTAGCACTTAAGAACAAGCAAACAAAAAATACTACTATGTTTTAGTAAGATAAAAAAAAAAGATATTACATTGGTTAAACGCTAGCGATAGTTGGTTTACCAGCGTGCTTAAAACTTCGAGTACTACTTTAATAGAATTATAATATAGCCCAACCGCGTACCGAGATCCTGTTTTAATAAGTATAAATATCCAGTCGTCGAATTTGTAGCAGGCGAAGAAACTATTTATGTAACAGTTCTTTACTCGTGTTCAGATTCTTGTTACGTCGTTACTGCCATACTTGTTTCAGCGTAGTTTTTTTGTGGCTACGTCGTTGATATTTCCCTGGTTAATTAAGCTTAGTGTGTTTTCTTGTTACGTCTTTTTTTTATTTTCCTGCTTCATTCGGCTAAACGTGTAGTTTCTCGTTATGTCGTTGATACTTTTCTGGTTGATTAAGCGTAGTGTGTAGTTTCTCGTTACGTCGTTGATACTTTTCTGGTTGATTAAGCGTAGTGTGTAGTTTCTCGTTACGTCGTTGATACTTTTCTGGTTGATTAAGCGTAATGTGTAGTTTCTCGTTAACGTCGTTAATATTTCCCTGGTTGATTAAGCGTAGTGTGTAGTTTCTCGTTACGTCGTTGATATTTCCCTGGTTGATTAAGCGTAGTGTGTAGTTTCTCGTTAACGTCGTTGATATTTCCCTGGTTGATTAAGCGTAGTGTGTAGTTTCTCGTTACGTCGTTGATACTTAATAGTTTAATATCCTGCTACACATCACACCACTTTATAAACAATACCAGCCCACAACCCACAACTCTGAAGCGCCCTACCTATTTCGTAATCTGAAATGACCCGGTAAACGTCGTGGTCATTTCGCTAGACTTGTAAACCGACGGGGTGTTTCTTATAACAAGTTCGATTAGTAAGAATTTCAACAGCTTCCGCTGAAAGTTTATCGTTTCTCGATTGTTGGTTTGACATCACACCCAGGGCGTATCTTGGGCGTGAGAACTAGGGTACGACGATTCGGTTCATTTTGCCCTACGCGTATGGTTTCTCTCACGTCTGCCCGATGAAAATGTGAAACGAACAACTGACAGATAGGCGTGTACGAAAACGATGAAGTTCCAAACGACCTTACCTCTAAATTTAGATTATCTGCTTATTCAGCCTGGCATGTGGACATATATGCCCTAAAGGTACAGCATCTCATAACTTAAACAGGTCGAAAAATATGTCTGTTACGGCTTGGCAAGTTGCCCGACAAGTGAGAAAAATCTCATGGTGCCTATGACGAAAGAATTTGATTCAGTTGTTGATATTCATAACAAACCTGTCCAGGTCTACGTGTGTAACAGTGAATGTAACAGTGTTTTTACAAGGAAGTCTTTTTTTTTCTTCTTCTTCTTCCTCTTCTTAGCATTGTATTGGGCGTTTCGCGTTATACCGACAAGACACCCATGCAGACTTACCAGTGTCATTTGTCAGAACCTTGACAATAAGTCTTTGGCTAGCTTCTAAAATCGATCTGTACCAAGATCAGCCTACGTCACTTTGGCAAGTACGTGTAAGGCCGGTAAACTAGGGTGATATGTACCTTGGAGAGTAGGCGGGTGGGGGTGACAAGGGACGAGAAAGCTAGCATCAGTTTGACTTATTTTCCTGATGTATACGTTGTTGTTGTTGTTGCATTTTGTGGTCGCGATTACGTTCTAGCGTCTTACTGAAACCTGTATCATAGGGCCATTAAAGAACAGTTTATTAACACTTATCATCACATACCGTAACGACGAACAGCATAAGGTGTTGATGTACCAGTTGTAGCTCATGAAAATTGATAATATACGTAGCGTCTAGACCACTACTTTATCTGTCGTGTTCCAGCCGGTCTGATGAGCCCTAATATTGGTTGTATTAGCCGAAAGGTCTCGTCGGTACCGGATATGGTAGATATAATGCGGTTGACATATCGTCTTTTAACTTGTGGTTTCTTAGAAATAGTGATAGTTACTAAATTTGTTCAGTAAACAAGTGAAGTGAGTTCTGAACCCCGTATTTTAACTCCTTCTAATAACAGGTGACTCATCGTTAAAAGTCTTAGTTTTTACAGATGTGGGTTAGGTAGGGATATTACGTTCGATTATTTCATAGAATAGGAGTGTGGGGGGTGGGGAGATTGCAGCAACATTAGAAGTACGAGTTTTTCTTGGGTTTTTGACTTTTTTTTTTCGGAACGTTTTGCATTTCTGTTGTTTCCTGTTTAAATGTAAAATGATATGACTAGGGAATATAACCTACTTGTTTAGAAATGACAAACGCTTTTCTTATAATGATAAAATAATCATGGTTCGTTGGAACAAATTATTTCTCTCTCTCTCTCTCTGTGTGTAGGCTTAGCGCAGACTGAGGGTTGCAGGTTCTAATTCCGTCACCCAATATGCTCACTCTTTCAGCCATGTTGGCGTTATGTTATCCCACTTTTTGTTGTTAAAAGAGTAGTTCAACAGTTGGCGGTGAGTGGTGTTGACTAGTTGCCTTTCCTCTAATCTATTACTTCTAAATTAAACACGGCTAACGTAGATAGACCTCGAGCAACTTTGCCCGAAATTCAATAAACAGACTGTGGGCTTGTATTAGATTATGTATTGATCTATTGAAAACATGAGAATTTTGAGTAAAAATTTAAAATTGAGACGTGGAAGAAATAAGAGAAATATAAACTTAAATTTCAAAATCCTTTATGAAAGTAAATTTGAAGTACGATACAAATAACAATGGCCAAACTTAAAAATGCAAAGTTAAAGTATTACGTAACAAAGATTGTGATTTAATTAAAACACTTAACATTGTAATTATTATTAATATATATATCGTCGATTTTTCTAGTTTACTAATGATCCGACAGGTGGAGCTAGTGTTTTCAGTCTATAAATGTGTAAATATATGGATTTTCAACTTCTGTTTGATGGTTTTTAAGTGAGAGAGTTGTTTGAATGATGATATATATATATATATATTCTAATCGTCATACTTTATTTATTCCTCTCACTGTTGGGATTATTATGTTTCAACTTTGGAGCAGGATGAGGAAACGGTTTCCATCCCCAAGAACTAAATTTGATATATCACATAAATGTGACGTAATGCCTAAGTGAGGTGGTTGAGAAGTAATATGAAGGACAGTAATCTTAATTGTCTCGTGGATTTTGGTACGTTGATTGTTTTTTCTAATGACCTTTTTTTATTTTTCAATTTAATTTTCTTAGATTGGAATGGCATGTGAATGTTGTAGAATTCCACGGACTTTTTTTTCATTAAAATGTCTTTTGACTATACACTAAAATTTAGTAAGTACTAAATGGGCTTTACTTAATATTACAGTGGGACATAATTAAGAACAAAGGAAGTCTTCTTGTAGCCATTAGTCTGATCAATCTAGCTACTAAGGACAAATGGGAGTCCTTTGAAGACTTGAAGACTGTGTATAGATGGAATCTCGAGGAACCAGAGGTAGGTGGCGCTTAGCGTTACAATTTATAATAAAGCTTATCACGTGTAAAAGAAAAATGGAAGTTCTTGGATGAGTGAATATATATATATATATATATATATATGTATAAGTACTCAAGGTAAGCGTATGAGATTTATGTCTGCAAGTTCCGACTCTCAAACGTTTATAACTTTAGGCTTGTTAAAGCATCTTGTTCGTAGATAACAATCTAGATTTCTAGCAAGGAGATCCATGGTATTATTTCAGTCTTTAAAAGTTTAAATAGTTTGTAACAAAACGAAAACCTAATTCACACGTATCTACAGCTTATGATCGAAACGTTTTCTGTGTAATGTATACTAATATGTTTCTTGGTAAATAGGATAAAGTATATAATATGTTTCCTAAAGCGTTGTTGTATTTCGTTATGTTTTAAATGACTCTCTTTTCCTTATCGTTTAATTTCAGATAACTTAGGTTGTAAGTATATTATCTTTGACTAGTTAGCTAAAGCATCGAAAGCGGATACATGCACACTAAATAATACAAGAGACTCCTGTGCTACCCATTAATATGTCAATGTTGTCCACGATCAGACCAACCAAGCACTTTTAAAAAGCACTTCAGGGTGTCAAAGTGACATGTTACAGCTAAATATTGGAAACATCAATACGCGAACTGATACAGCCTTATTGATTCCAGTTTGAACTTTTTATTTTTCTTTCTTCGGTGTATGAAGTTTTTAATCATGTAATAACCATGAAAGCACACACAAAATGAATAAATATACAATAAAACAATCTATTTTGATATTTAAATTACCTTTTTATATACTTTATTTTTTAAGTAATTGAGTTAGGCCTACTAGAAATCGAAGTTGCTCCCTCTGGTGGTATGTAATAGCACTAAATCGATTTATATATATATATATATAAATTTAAGTTTCAAATGGATGTGGATTTTCATAGAACGTATGTCGTATGTGTTATTTAATTTTTTTAGTTTTTTCTTTTATGGATTTTTTTTGTCCAATTGCACTCTACACTAAAGCGAAAATGTCTTCAACTTCGGTTGAAATGACGTCACTACGACTGTCATTTAGTTTAGAAAACAACAACAAAAGCAGTTAGATGAGAATAAACGCAGTCAAAATTAACAAAGATTTTGTTATACGCGAATTTTTTTTCCATTTCAAACATTCTGAATACTCTATAAATCCTTGTTGATTTTAGGCTTAGCATAAGCAGTTTTTACGCAGACACAGTTCGATTATTAAGTGTAATAAGACAAGGAAGGACCATTCTCAATGAGATGCGTACTTTGTATGTAATTCCATCAGATATTGATTTCTAATTCATCAAACAACTACAAATAATAAGTGTGCATTTTCTTAAAATAGAAAGTTTTGGCTATTTTCCAATTTTTGCAACATCGGAACCAATCTGAGAACGGTTCTACTCTCCTTAAGTTTGATATTTCTCCATAATTATCTTAACGTCCTAACGCGCTTGCTCTGTTTATGTAATTAGCCTACTTCTCTTAACACAAAATGATTACGTAAGACTACTGTTACACGAAGAGAAACGTTTCTCAGAAGACTTGACGCAAAGAGGCTAGATTTATATATATATATATACCATGCAAACTGTCTTATTCATCACGGTATTTATTATGAATGGAACAAGGCAAGCCTAATTTCCAAATAATGCTCAGCGATAAACAAGGGAAATATGTTAAGTTTTACATATAATTGGGTGGGACTGCATCGTCAGCGGTTGATTCATCGTTAAGTTTCGAGAACGTTTCCTTGTAACTAGACACCTATTACGTTTCTAACAATTCCGCTGTAGGAATATTGTGAAATTACCTTAAGTTAATGACACTTTAGAATGTTGTTTTCTTACTGCAAAATTACACAATGGGCTATCTGCACTCTGCCCTCCGCGGAGAACTAAACCCTGTATTTTTGCATTGTAAGTCCGTAAATTTACCGCTTACACACCAGGGGACTTTAGAACGCACTCTAGTTTAGAATATCAAACAATATTAACTCAGAGTATTACTTTGCTTTTGTTATTTTCCAGTGTATCAAGTACTGGACAGAGGACAAATGGTTTGGCCTCCAGAGAATCCAAGGAGCTAACCCTATTCTAATTACTCTGTGCACAGAAATTCCTTCAAAGTAAGCGATGAGATGGCAACTTTTTAGAAGAGAAAAAAAAATCCATGTTCAGATTTATCTACCTGTATTGATCCTTACCTATAGCTATATTGATTGATAAATAAGTGTGTGTGTGTGTGTGTGTAAGTTCGAGGTCAGTAACTATGTTAGCATTAAATATTTTATTCAGTCTATGTAAACTATTTGAACTAATGCTCTAAAGATTTTATTGTATCTTACTTGTGATAAAAGTGTTTTGGACTTGGCGTAATGGTGTATTATAAAACCTATTTCTAACTTCAAGTCGTAATATTTTATTTCGGTGTCAGATTTTCAGGCTTATATTTGCTTCTGTCGATAGTGAAGTCTCACCTGTGTTAAGACTAACAAGCAGTGCTTAATTGTATTGAGTAATTTATTTGCACTATCACCACGTTATTTTAGGTTTTTTTTGTTTAGTTTCTAATTCAAAAGCTTTCGGCTGAGCCTTCTATGGGTGCAAGACTTTTAGTAAACTGAATCCTTGTTGACAGGTACGAGGAGTGAGTTTTGGGAGATAACAGCTTAAATGTTGTTGAGGCTACTATTTGTAATGGGACTGGAAGAGTAGTTGACCATGGCGGCCACATAATGTAATCGAGGACGTTATAAAATCAGTGTTTCCGAAGTCTTTAGATAAAAACAAAAGAAGTTCAGGACTTTAGACTTGAAAAGATCCGGAAATAATTAAACGTTGTTCACAAGCACCGAAGAATGCCATTAATTTATATTAACGTTAAAACCGTTAGCTTGATAATATATAAAATGTTTAAGAAAGAAATTACATACAGAAAGTGTTTCTTGTAATAGATCCCTAAGGTAAGCCCAAACTTGGCAACAGCCACATTTTTCTTCACTGACTTAAAATATAATATATTTGAAAGAATAAAAAAAATAAAGACTTGTCTTGCATATGGTTTATAAATTAAAAAGATAATACAGACCTGAACAGTGTTGAACGCTGTTCTCTTTTCTTAAATTATATTATTTTAAACTAATAATGTACCTCGGTGAACATACATTAATGGGGAATTTTTCCTCTGTTCTTCTCAGGTTCAAGGTGGATTCTGGGATGTTACAACCTTTTTTGGAGGGACTGACTTTGGAAGAAGCTCTCGCTGCAAAGCGTTTGTTTATTGTTGATCACAAGTTACTGGAGAATATAAACTGTAAAGACGCACGAATGGTAATTTAAATAGAAGCCGAGAATTGGTTCACTTCAACCGCCAAACTAATCACGTGCTTCACGATCATTGTCAAAGTTCCGGTCTTTGTCATGCAAATAACGACTGATTTTAATAGTATAATAAAAAATATAAACATGACCTTAACTTTCTGACTTAATAGCTGATAGTTTGTTACGATTTAAACGCCGAAAGCAAGCGAGGAATTGGAAACCAATACGTTTATATTGGTGATAGAAATGTACATTAATTGACAAGATTAGGGTATACTTCTAAAATAATTCTTCGTTTTGGGGCGCATGTCCTTTGACAAGCTTGACTGCCTTACGATAATGTAGACTAATAAACAATATTGCAATAAACGTCGTCAAATAAATTGAATTTTGACATTGAACTAACCTTGTTTTAATCTTTTCACATCTTGCAGAATATTTTCGATACAACTTTTCAGAAATTAGATGTTTTCGTTGTTCAAAATATTTAATATTTGGACTTCGGATCACACAGCAGCACTGATAGTATTATACGTATGTTTTCTGTATGATAAACATTATGAAGTAGGCTTAAAATATTAAAAAAATTTGTTTCCATACGAATCCTAGCTATTTAAACACGAACTTACGATAATAATTATACACGTTAGGTGATGACAACCCTGTAATTTCATATAAAAATGTTAATTAATGTGGTGAGTGTTACTAATGTTACTTTTTTTTTATAGTTTATCGCATTACTTTTACCAAATCGTTTCTGAACCAAAAATTCCTTCTATAATAACTGTTAACCTAATCAATATAAAACTGGTCTAACGTCACGACTTACCGAATTCGATCTCCTGTGGGTCTGTCTCGTGAAATTATAATTACAAAAATTATACGTGTGTGAGTATACCATTTGAAATCAACAAAACTTGGATACTTTATAGGGTAAATGCCTACGAAATATGAATAGCTGATTTAAGTTTGTGTAACTGTAAATTCTGTAGAAGTTTTGATATCCCAGAATTAGAGCATAGCATAGCATAGCGCTTTCGGAAGGGCGCTGGAGAATACATGCAACTGAAAGTTAAGCTCTGAGAAGTCTGCTTTTTATTTAAGACCCAATTAAATTTTTTCTTAACTTATTACAGATATTCTAATTAATATCAACTTTTCTGAAAATGCTATAGTCAACTTGGATCAATTTGCTTAGATGGTTAAATTTTATACTAAATTATTAATAATTAATTAGTCATACGTTTATTTGCCCTGTTGCTATAGTGTAGAACAGATAGCAAATGGTAGGCCTACACTGTGGTGTCGAACAAATACATTACATAAAAATATTAGTAGGCCTATTCTTTTAAGACATTAACTTCTGGGAGCAAGATGGAACAATTGGTAGACCCGATTACTGTTTAAAAAAACACCCAGAGGCGTCGCTAGGTGCTTAAAAGATTCGGGGCTCGGGCCCATAGGCTCGAAAATTTTCGGCGTTTGAAGCTTTCAGAATAATATCTATCATGGTTTTCTACTCTGATTTTTCAGTACATCAACTGGGGATTCGAGGCACTGCAAAATAGAATCGGGGCTCGGACTCCGTGTGCCAGTTCCCAACGACGCCTCTGAAAATACCCAACTTAAAATTGGTAATAATCATGTAAAATGCAGGCATCCCCCCCCATTCCTTTTTCATTTATCCGTTTCAGATTGAAAATCAGAGGTGTGTAAAAAAGGGGAAAAAAAAGCATTTCATATCTATTTTTTTTCTTTGTCTCCTGAAAATCACTGTCCAAGAGGTCTTTCTTTTAAGACCAAAACTCGTCTGTTGAGCTGGTATTGAAGAAAAGGCTTCTTGCGCAGTGCTTTGTGGAAGACAAAATATAGATCTTAAATGCTATTTTTACACGCTTCCAATTTTAAATTGAGTAATTAAAAGGAATGTAGAAAAAATACATCTTCAGTTTAAATTAATTTTTATCACACATTGTAAGCATATTGCTTTATAACTTTCGGCGTGTAAACCGTAACTTCTTAAAATTTTATTATTACATTAACTTAAAGCACAGGGTAATTCGAAGAAAGTTCCCACACTGATTTATTGAGGAAAGAATGTGATACATTAATATAACTGACGTTAAAGTCAGGTGTTTTAAATGATACTTTTGTAGCTAGGTGTTCTATTTCAGTGTATGTTTATGTTGTTAGCGTATCTGTCATTGGATCACTCTATATATATTCAGTGAAAAAGAGAAACATCTGGCTTACTTAATTAAGCCTTTATAACTTTTGTTCTGAATTAGACCTAGTTAAAAATAATAATATTCTTCTTGATATGTTACAAATGTTCTAATTAATTTCGAGTTATTTTTTTTATAAGTTAACTTGGATTATTTTGTGTAATTATATTCCTGATCATTAATATTAGGCTATTTGCTATGTTACCATAGTATCGAGTAGCGTTTATCAGGCTTGATCTTTACTTATATATTAAAAGCGTAATCCCCTCATATTTACATTGGGAACTTGGTGTAATAAAATGATTCAAAATATATATATAAAAAAAAAGTTTGTTTGGTTGCTATTAAGCACAAAGCTACACCATGGACGACCTCTGCTCTGCCCACCTTATGTACCAAAACCCAATGTTTAGTATTATAAGCTCTCAGGCTTACCGCTGAACCATCGGGGATGCATTAATAAAGTAATAATTAATTAATTGATAAATAATTAAATAATCCATATATACAGAATAACAGTAGACATTAATAACGATAAGATGCATTAATAAAGTAAGAATTAATTGATAAATAATTAAATAACCCATATATATATATATAATAACAGTAGACATTAATAACGATAGGATGCATTAATAAAGTAAGAATTAATTGATAAATAATTAAATAACCCACATATATATATATATATAATAACAGTAGACATTAATAACGATAGGGTGCATTAATAAAGTAAGAATTAATTAATTAATAATTAAATAACCCACATATATATATATATATAATAACAGTAGACATTAATAACGATAGGGTG